CAGTTTACTCTATAATGACACTTGCAAACTCACACTGTGCAGCAAATCTGTCTGTTTTAAACTAAAAGACAGAAAACAGACGTTTTCTCATGCTGAGAGATAATCAGATGTATATGTGTGAGAAAATATCACATATGGTGTTAAAACATAAATGACACAGAGGATGAGAACAGTTCCTATTCTCTGTTTTTATTTGAGCTCCATAAGATGAGGCATGTTACATCGGAACATTCTCTTCTCATTTACTGTCACTGTCAGGAACTACTTTTTTTTTAGTGGAAGGTTTTTTTTTTTTTTTAAAGAAGCTTATCAATACATAAATTTTTGGTTTTAATATTTTCATTGTGTGGTAACCATTTTATGTGTGTGTGTGTGTGTGTGTGTGTGTGTGTGTGTGCTGTATGTATGGCTGCTGAAAGGACTAAAAAAAAAAGGAAAGTGAAAGTTGGTCATTTTTATCGTGTTTATTTTCTTGGTCAGTGTTTTTTGCTTTGTTCGTTTGTTGTTGTAGGCTGTATGACTCTTGATGACTCAAAAGTTGTGATGATGTAATGCGGTCAAGACCTGGAAGTACTTCATAGCCATCAACACCACCGGGGGAAAAAAAACTAAAATCCCTACAATGAACTAAAGACAGAGCAAACAAAACCCAAATGAACAAATGGAGAATCTCAGATATTTCCCCTTAAAATACCCCAATAATCTCACCTGTGAGATCTCAACAATGTCTCAAACTGTGCTCAGATTAGTCAACATCTGCAATCAGAAGTCAGAAATCTGAATATACTGAATATACAAACTCTACTACTATTCAATCAGTTTATAGCTCTACACTCTCACTGTATGACGCATGTCTAAAGACTTCAAAACTGAATGAAATAAACAAATAAGAGAGATCTAACCGAGAGCTCCCTAAATCTCCTGAGCTGTGAGCTATAAACGTGATCTTGGCTGCGTATGAGCAAAACTGAATTTAACCTTCAGGATTAAAAATCACCATAAAACCAAGCCCTGACACATGGCATGATGTATAAACTCCTCCACAAATATACACGCAAGACTCCTCTCCTTCAGTTTACACATGCTGGAATACATAAGTGAGTCCACCGTGACATTCAGCGTGGCATTCCTTGCGATTTCCCTGCTCTCTGTAAACTGGATTAAAGGTGCAGTATGTCAACGTTATTCTTTTCCTTCTTGATGTGAAGTACTTTATAGATCTCCTCAGACTGCACGCCTCAGCTGTGCACAAAGGCACTGCGCTTTGTTATTATTTATGAGGTGGAACGTTGTCAAGTGCTTCTTGTGCTTTAGAATGCCCTTCATTTAGTTAGAGGCCATAAACCTTGACCGTCTTATCACGAGGCATATTCCCTACATGACACCACTACAGATCAAAACTGTAGCTTATGGATACAACTCACATCTTATGTGCTGGCTAGAGATGAGCATCTGACATAAATATAGTCTGTGATGTTATACCGGCTAAACACAGCAGTGCTGAGTTCATATGGTGAATCATTATGAACATGGCTTGTATTTTTGTCTTGATTTCTAGCACAGACAACCTGAAAATAAGACTTGGGCATGATGTTAAAGGGACAGTTCACCCAAAAATTAAAGTTTTGGGTGAACCTGCACAAGTTTCTTTCTTCTGTTGAACACAAAAGAAGATGTTTTGAAGAATGATTGTAACCAAACAGTTGACAGTAGCCATCGATTTCCATAGTATTTTTTTATACTATTGAAGTCAATGGCTACCAACTTTCTTCAAAATATCTTCTTTTGTGAAACAGTAAACTAATATGGTTTGGAACAACTTAAGGGGAACATAAATGATGACAGAGTTCTCATTTTTGGATGAAGTATCCCTTTAAACCTGCTGGCACGACTGATTCACGCACACATCATTTTGTTTACATTCACTATATAGGCAAATGGCCACAAATGTTCCGAATGTTGACAAATGATGCATCTTTTGAAAGGTCTATGAGTTTAGCATCAGTATCTGCTTAGACTAGTCTTAAAAGTTAGACACCTGAATTTTTTCTGCAAGACTGGTCATAATTTTTAAAAGTCAGTTACATAAAAACATAAATTGATCTAATTTGAATCTGAAAAGTTAGACTGATAACCACTTGGTTAAATGCTAGTTAGTCAAACTAGTTCTTAAGACACAGTCTTAACATGGTGACTACTGTATGTTTATGCAACTGGCCCCTGGTCTCAGTTTCATGATAAGCTTCAGTAACAGTAATATAGTAATTTGGGCTGGAAATACAAATGATAATCAAAACTTCAAGACTTTAAGCCTTTATTATAAAACAGCGATCGTAAGATGAATCCAATCCGTCACACTTAAATTGTTAAAGCATTTATTTAAAAAAAAGCATTGAATCCATGAAATATTGATATATTATCCACTGTTTCCAACCGATTTGTCTGAATGATCTGCAACTCAACTTGAGATTTGAATCTGAGGCGGAAGGAAGTAGTTGCACACACAAAAGAGTTTTTAAGACAGTCAGTGGTTGTTTTTTATTTATTTACTTGTGCCGTTGAACTATTGTATAAACGCAGTATCACACTCGTAGCTGTGTAATATCACTCTATATCAGCATGGCTGTGCATATCACACGGCTACTTGTGTGATATATATATATATGTGACCCTGGACCACAAAACCAGTCTGAAGTCGCTGGGGTATATTTGTAGCAATAGCCAAAAATACATTGTATGGGTCAAAATTATTGATTTTTCTTTTATGCCAAAAATCATTAGGATATTAAGTAAAGATCATGTTCCATGAAGATATTTTGTAAATTTCCTACCATAAATATAT